TCTCCCTAGATCTTTAATATCAATTACTAGAAAATAGGACCCCCCCAAAAAAATTTTTTTTGATCTGTGCCTAAATTTACAGAGCTTTCCCAGCAGAAAATCACATTGAAAGGATTTGGGGCTGGTTCTGGGTAGGAACAGAACACTAGGTCTGACTGCTAGCTTAGCTAATCCTAGACAGTTTGTCATCACAGAGAGTCTATCAGAGACCAGCAGGAAAGAGATAATGGAATTTCCATAAGGGTCCAGTCAGGACAGCAAGAGATCTCTGATCCTTGCAATTATATCAAAGATAAAACACATTATAATAAATTTTAGTTTCATCCTCTTGGGATGTCTTGGGAAAATTATCTCACTCCGACATGAATATACATGTATGTACCTGCACCAAATCTGGCCCACAGTTTTCAGACTGGAATCCCCAGATTTCACTGGTGATGTTTCTAGCAGCAATCTCATTTATTAATGGCCTGGGATGGCAGTGTCACACACACTTTACAAGGTGTGGGTGAAGCACCTCGGTTTCAGCTAGAACCAGATCAAGAGTCTGCAGTCATTCAGCCCATGTGTCATTTCCAGACGGGAGTATGGTAAATGCAATTCTGTTCACTCTTTCCCATTCTGTTAACAGTAATTCAATATTCAACACAATTCCTTTGTTGTCTCTCCTCCAAATACCCTAGTGTCTCACAGTGGACTGGTCCTTGCCACCTGGGATGTTTATTTAACCACGGAGACCGTATAGTGGCTGTGAATGATCTGCACCCTCAGAACTTGGAGGAGGCCTCCTTGTTCATCAGCAGGTCCATTAGAAAGGAGGTATGTTCAACTGACCTGAAAATGATAGTCAAGTAAATCAAGCCAAATGAGAAAGCGCTTTGCTTTTGCCTTTCAGAGGGCTTCATTCAAACCAGTTCACTCTGTTTTGAGTGTGGTGTGAATAACCTCAGTACCAAGTAGTGCCTCAACGTCACTTGATGTAGCATTTCTTATTCCTGTGCTATTTGGGGAATGCAAGGTCTGCACTGCTGTGTTTGAGGACTGATCTCAAAGAGTCTGAGCAACTCAAACTTTAAATTAAAGTTACTTGGTATGTTTTGGTTGAGGTCTGTGCATTGAAAACTTTGGGAAGTAAATGATTGCCTCCAATGGATTTGCTTATAGTCGTTTTGGGTATCGAGGGCAGAACCGTAGGCTCCTACCTCCTTATCCAGCTATTATCACTTTTTTGAAGTATGTGGAAGATTTCTAAGTGGTACCTTAACACCACTGCAATCTGCTACACATTTATACTCACGTTTCTCTCAGATGGGCCCCAATTTCAATAGTCAGGTTCTCTGACCCATACATGAACACCTTCACATTTAAATTTTGCTGAGAAAGTTAAGATCGTTAGATGCTGTTACCCTCTAAAGAAAAGAAAGCCAGTCTCCATAAGGAAAAACTATTCACCTCTCTTAACAGGGTATTTTTTATTTAGCTAGTTAAAACACAAGTCAGATAGTAGCACAAATGTTTTAACAATCTATAAAGCAGTGTCTCCCACTTTTTCTTTTAAGGTGAAACTTACTGTATGTAGGATTCCACATTCAGATACTTTCCATGTTAAAGGCTGCTCATGTTCCTGAAAAAAGACCACAATTAACAAGTAAGTGCCAAAGTTCAAGGGAAAGGATCAAGGAGAAGAATGTAATGTATAGTGTATGGAGATCTGTACCTTCTAGAGCTGCCAGACAGATTTTGTTGCTAAGTACAAAAAACAGAGAATATAGATTTCATTTTATGTCCTAATAACTTGTTTCAGTGACATGAATAGCTGTGTTTTAATTCTGTTTCACATTATCATATATTTCAGTTGCATGAGCAAGAAGGTCAAAGCATTTACAAAACATCTGCGTTGTGTACGCTTTGCAGTTCAGTAGAAAGTAGTGGTTCATGCCTCTGCTTGCCTCTTTACACTGAGTTACATAGACTTATCCCTAATTCCTGAACCATTTAGGGATGTGGGAACAACCTACATTTGGAACAAAGACACCTTTTCCCTTGCTTCCTCTCAGTTTCAGAACAGCAAAAGCGATCTGAGAACTTTAATGTTGGAAGGAAGACTGGGGGTCCTCCTCTTGCTATGGAAGGAAGATTGGGGGTCCTTCTCTTTGCTATGCCCCTCATGTTACAGCCACAAATATGCATATAGAATGTACACAGAGCTTATACCTATTCTGTATGGATAGGCATACATTTGTACATACAGGTGTATGTATTTACAGACATATATATATAGCTGTTACATAGTGTTAATATACAACACTGTGACAACAAACTAAATAACCATTTTTGAGTACAGATAATTTTATTTTGCTAGATAGCCAAAATAAATTAAACTGTGTTTAGCAGGCATAGGTTTACTGTTATTAGCATATTTAAGGTGGATTTAGCCCAGAGAAGACATTTGTCCAGCTTCCAATTGAATTAGGCCAAATCAAGGAACTACACTTATTAATATCAGTGTTTCTGCCACTTACTCCAGTAGTAAATTTGTCCAACCTGGACTGAAAAAAAAAAATATCTTTATAAAATTGTATTCAGCCAGAAATGAAAACAGTATCAGTAACTCAAACAAACAAAAACATTTATACAAACAATTCAGACTCAGCTCCTGTTCAAAATATTAATTTTCACACTGTTCACACAGCCTTTCTCTTCTGTTTTTGAGATAAGAGTGTCTGTGATATGCTTATTTCTCAGGATGAGAAAGGATCACTTTCAATTATTTTTTACAGTGGTGTTCAAAGGCCCACTTGTGCTGAATTCTGCATAAAGACTGAGGGAAACCCCGGTTCCGGAACAACAGAGACTGAAAATGGAAGAAAAGAAATTCCTTAGGAGCCTTCCTCCAAAGTTGCTGTGGGATTCCTTTGCTCTGGGCTGTCTCTCTCAGCCCAACAAATCCCCCTCTGCCTAAGGAGTCTGTGAGGATGCCAAGGGCATCGCTGTACGGGGCATTGCCAGCTCCGTAACCGTGTCAGCCTGCTCAAACAGGCCTCTAGGCCGGGATCCTAAAACCATGAATCATCTAGGTCAAGAGCACCCACCGATGACGTGTCCCTTGACTTTCCTGACTGAGGCTTGCCTAAATTCTTCTGAACTTTAGAAAAGGCCAAGCCTTCCTGTCTTGTTCGAAGACTCATCTGGCTGTATAATTGGGATTTTTCTTGCGTGTTTTCAGCAGGCATGGGGAATTGCTCTGCTGTTTCCACAGAAGTCTTTATTCTGGAAGATATTTTTTATGCCTGTTCTTCCTTCCATTTTTTAGACCAAATATCCTGCACTCTTTCAACATTTTTTCCCCAAACATTTCATGTAACCTTTCCTGTGTCACTGACCTGCAAAACAAATACCTCCTTTTTCCAGTTATGGGTGAACAAAGAAGTGAGACAGTCTTAAAGCAATTTCCTGAAACTTTGTATAGAAACATTTCCAAGAAGAGATGAACAAAGAGAAGCTCTAGACTGTATGCAGTGGTGAGAGGAAAGCCAGGACCACAGAACCTGCATGTGGCATTGCTGCTGAAGCTGACGTTGAGCAACGTATGCTGCACCTCTTAGCCATGGAAGGATGCTACTTCTGGAAAAAAACAGGATTTGGGTAGAGATATCAAGCATGAGACAATTCCAGAATATTTCAGAAAACTGGGGGGTTACTTCTGTAAACAGTTACTGATGTGTTACATTAATCAATCCTGTCAGTTTGCAGTATGATAAATGCAGATAATTAATGTTACATATTGGCTGATTCACAACACTTGCTAGATATACAACATGAAAGTGACATCGGTATAGTAAATTCTGGTAGGGTTTGTGAAGTTGTCTGTGCACATGATCAATAAATGGATTATCACTTTACAACACATATTGTATTCCCTGACTACCTCACTTTCTCCCAATACAGCCCCTCTTCATCCTCCAAAGGCCACCTTTAACTTTCCAGTAGCCTGTAGATGGGACACCAAATAGCCCTTTAAAAAAATAAAAATTAACCTACTCTTAAAAAACAAGAGCAACCTGCTTCTGTAACACTTGTTGCCAATATGAAAATTTTACTTTTCTTCAAATGAGCAAATTCTGCTAAATCTCTGTGCTGCCTCTAGAAATGCACAGCAGTACCCAGTGCTCCCATTAAAACCCAGCCACCCCCCAAGACACCATCTTTAATCCGATGGCAGCTGGCATGGAGCTGCTAATTTTTTAGATTACCTGTGGGCATTTAAAGGTGCTATGTAAGCGGACACTTAAAGTAACAGGTGCTATTGTAACTTCTTGTTGCAGTACACTCTGTGGCATCAAAAATCTTCTTAGCCAGTCCCCAGGTAACTTTTGGTCTGTGGAGGGTTCCTGACACAGATGTTTAAGTTGACATGAGCTGAAATTCAGTGAACCCACAGACTATCACCTGTGTGTAAAACACAGTGGAAAGAAGGCTGCAAATCCTGAAGTCTTCTTGCACCACTGACCACATACAGCTACCTGTGTGGAAGCAGGGGCTGGTGTTGGATGCAACACATGCCAGTTGAATCACTCTGCACCTGCAAGCTGGGTCTACAAGAGACAGAAACCAACAGACTACAACACAGATTACATGATTAGCTAAAGATTAATGTGCTCGGCAGTAACTGTATTTCATTCCTGTGCCTTTAGGTTGTTTCCCTGACTTAGTTCATGGCTACGTTCACTCATTATTGGCCGCTGATTTTCCCTCTGAATTCCCAAATATGAGTCATGCACTTTCTACCTCTCTGGTACCTTCTACAACAGGAAAGTGGCAAATGTCCAGGAGAAAAGCAAGTCCTGGAACAGATTAAAATTAATGGGAAGAGAAGTCCCCAGACTGATGTGATGTCACTGAAGTTAAAAAAATATATATATGTATAGCAAGCACAAAGCAGTACACACAGTCCCAGTGCTTCTATGTCAGGTCAACACTGCTGAGAACCAGGGTTGGAGTCAAATATTGATAAGAGGGAGCCCAAGCCCTGCAGGAGAACAAATCCAGTCAGGGAAGGGGATCTGTGCTACCTGCCCATGGGGCTAGGTGTGATTTAGAGTCCCTGCAACCTGGGGTACCCAGCCAGGCATGCTTTGGCGTGGCTGCACTTTCAGCAAGTGGAAGAAGAAGTTGCAATAAGGGAGAGCAATGGTACCTTGTACACTGGAGAGAAAATAGGTCGGTGGTGATCTGGGGACACCAGGCACTAGTTGGTGTTTTGTCCCCAGCATTCTGGGTGCCCTTGGGAGAACCATTTCTTTCACCTACAGTAAAATTCAAAAAGTGATTTCACACACATTTGTATCATGCAATCTCTTACATACATGTACGTACCTGTATCGGCACTTCTGGAAAGGTGCTGATGTGCCCATCAGTGCTGAGGGAGAAGCCGCCCTTGGTGCCCTACAGGAACATGAGACAGCACAGACATGAGCAAACATGAGGCAATGCTCCTGCTTCCCCACAGGGAGCTCACCCTGGTTGTGTGCTGCTTATGGAGAGCTGCACCACACAAACGGAAATCTTCTCAGTCAGACACATTAGGTAGTTCATATTTCATGTCCCGTTAAGGGGTACACTAATATTTATAAGGGTACTTCATTGCCAGGGCTCCTTGGGTCAGAGCAGGGGCACCGAATCCTCAGCAGAAAGCTTTAACCACAGGACCTTCAGGTCAGGGGAACTGACAACGTAATCTGAGATGCGCTGAGGGCTTTCTTGGTGTGCTTCCCAGGGACGATCAGCCTTCCCACAGAAGTGTCTCTCCGCAGCCAGCCCCTTCCCTCCCGCAGGCTGGCCAGCAGGTCGCCGTGAGGAACTTGGAGCGTCTCGGGCTGTTCCTAGAAATGCCACTGGAATTTCAAACGTTCCCTTTGGTCCCTTATCACTTTCTAATTTATTGCATCATTTGAAGAAAGTGAGAGGCCAGCCAAGGTTGATGCAAATCTTAGATTCAGCAAAAGCACCTGAAGAGAAATTGTGTCTCTGTGCCCCACAGCACTGAGGATGCTCAGCAGGGAGAATGCTCAGCAGCCAGCAGCAATGTGCCTGACAGAGGCTCGGCCTCTCCTCCCTGATCAGGACCAGATCTTCAGTGGGTGCAAAGCCACTGTGGTGGCAGCAGGGTTGGATGTACAGCAGTGATTGCCTGGCTGTGTTGGATTTTCCACACCTGGGTACCTGAATCCAGGCCTGTGCCTGAGAGTTGGTTTCTTTTGTAACCCAGCAGTGGAGAGTGAAGTTCAGCAGTCCATGGGAGCACTAAGATCATGGCTATCAGTGGTAACGTCATGTTTTAAAATGCCATGTCTGTTATTATCATTGTTGTAAAAATTGATTTTTACAACAACCAGGCTCCCAGCCCAGTGGTCTCTCCCCTGAAGAGCCCAGCACCTCTTCAACCAAAGCAAGCAAAACATCTGCATCAGAGCAGAGCTTACACCCACAAAGCTCCCCAGAGTCTCCTTCTTGGTTTGGTTCCTTACCCCGTTTCATTTCAAAATGGTGTCCACAAAGCAAGTTAAGGAAGAAAAGGGCACAGTCCAGCAAGTGTCCCCCTGCTCACAGGACAGCCACCTGCCCACGTGCTCCAGCTTTGGGGCTGGCAGCAACAGAGGCTGTCCTCACAGACCATGCCAACAACCAGCACGTTGGAAACTATGCACAACATAGTTTTAAGCAAACAATCCTAGGCAGTGCTGTATGGTAACTACACAGTTTTCTAATCAAATCTACCTGAAAATCTGAAGCAGCCACTGCCATGAGCACTAGGGATGCTGCCGTCTCTTCCAGTAGTGTCGCTGTAAGTATACATTGTCCAGTTAGTGGGAGGAGGAAAATGTCCTTCCTGGGAGCCCTCCTCTGCTGGAGCTCTGCTCTAGGCAGCATCTTTCTGGAGCCACCACAGCTCAGTGTAGACCTGTCTCCAGCGGCCCTGGGAACTGGAAAAACAACACACACACACACAAATTCTGACCTTTCTCCACATAGCAGAAGTTCCTCTGAAAAGTGAAATCCCCAAACACTTGCTCCAGAAAAGAAAAACAAATCAATCTAAACCTCCACCTCTTGTAATCCCCGAAGAAAAATGAGAAAGGGAAAAAAAAAAAAAAAAAAAGCTTGAAAGAGCTAGGACATGTGCCTTGTCTGCCTTTGTGTTTCTGCGAAAAGCTCTGAATTATGAGTGGTATGCCATGAAACCCATTTGGAAGAGTCCGTCACATGTTCGCATTTCTCAGACATGTCCTTCTCCACCTGGAAATGTTGTTCTGGCAGACTGCAAGGATCTTGTACATTTGCCCAGGATTTCTGGGCACTTGAGCTTCCCAAATCCGTGCGGCGTGCAGCTCCAGCGCTCTGTGAAGCACCCGTCCCGCCGTGCCTGTGCTGCTGAGGCGGTCTGTGCAGACCCCTGACGGCCAGCAAAGCAAAGCGACTGTGCAAATAGTCCTGGCTGGGGAACCTGACCTGAAACTCCCAGCTGCAGCACAGAGGAGGGGAGCTATAGGCTTTGCAAGGCTGAGAGGACATTAAAACACCACAGAACACCCTCCTGAAGCCCAGCTGAGCACCACCGCCGTGGCTGTAGACTTCAGGAGCTACATCCATATTTTTTGTGCTGTCTCTGCAAGCTTTCCCATGATATCTGTTCCTGTTTCCTGTGTGTGTCTACAAAAGCCAGCACAAAATCATGATTTGTTTCCCTCCAAGGGCTGTTAGAAGGATACCACCACCATCAGCTGTGAAAGTGGCACAGCTTTTGCACCCAAGAGGAGCCCATATTTTCAAGTACTTGCTCTTCTGCAGCCCCTACTGATCAGTGGCATATTCCACACGAGGGCATATTTTGCCAAAACAACCTCATTTACATGCTAAATGCCCTTGGACTGATTAGATGCCCTGCGGGCCTTCTCCCCTCAGATTTGCCCCTCTTCAGTTTTATTCGATGTCCAAAGCTGGTGTCATTCCTCAGAGATGTCATTCTGCTTCCAAGCTAATGTTCTTGTGCTCCTTTTTCTCCGAACAAAGGTGAATGCTGGTAGTGTAACATTTCTAAGAAATTCCCAGCAGTCGAAGGGTAGCTGGGGGGAGAACGCAGAGGGAGGAAGGAAAACTGAGTCATGAGGAGTAACTATAAACAGAAAGAGGGACAGGGGTAGGAGAAAATCAAGTCAAAGGCAGTAAAAGTGGAGTTCTCTGCTGTAAATACATTTTTGTCACATTTGGTGATTTGAAAAAAAAAAAAAAATACAAAACACCAAAAACAGTTTAAGGTTATTCCCTAGCATCAGACAAGCAGCAGTTCCGGCTCTTCAAGGCCAGCTGAAGCATCAAAGTAACTCACAGTAAATACGTGTCCGGTCTCTCTGGCAGCCTGATGAAGCATTGCTAAATTCAACAGCTCCTGGCACCCCAAGAGTTTCCATCCATTTGTACTTGTCTTGTTTAAGTCCTGCTGATGCTGGAGATCAAGAGGCTAGGAAGAGTGCGGAGAGATTCTGGCACTGCAGCAAGAAGACAGGAGGATAATGTAACACGGCGTACCCCTGCAGAACAGAGTCAATAAGCAATTGTCTTGTCCAGGGGCTACTGGGCATCCAGCTGGCCAGGAACCTCTGAGATAACTGAGTGCCACTTCAGTGGTCTCGCTGCTCGCAGGACCCCTTGCAGGTTTGGGACACCAACCACCCCAGGCCCCAGAAGTGCATCTCCTCTTCATCCCTGGGCCAGTAAGCAGTGTCCCCCGCCCATGGTGTGCTTCTGCTGGAGTGAGTCTTCTGCACCTCTGGTAGGTCGCGGTGTCTGAGCATCTGGAACTGCTTTGTCCCAGGTCTGAAGAATTATTGTAACATCCATAAAGAATAAAAAAGAAAAGCAGCAGATGGAGGTGTACCTGAGGGCATGATCTGAGCCTCATCTCAGTGAGTGGCCATCCTGCCTGGCTGGCTCCTGCGCACCTTTACCTCCTCGTGCTCATTCCCGAGCTTCCTAAACAGCAGCTTGGGGCTGCAGCCAAGTTTATAGCAGCCAAAGGTAAAGCATTTTCTGTCCCCAGGGGGCATAGGAATCAGGCTGCTCGGTTGAGTAAACATCCCCAGAGGGCACTGGAAAGCACCAAACCAGGAAACAAGAGCCTCCACGTCTGCTGGCTTTGACTGGAAAGTAAGTCACTGACCATTCAGTTCTGTCACTGTGAAATCCCTGATATTTCCCCAGTTGATTAGGCATCACATTTCACGGCTGCTCTGGCAAGCTTCACCACTGCCCTGTTTGCTCCAGGTGCACCCAGATCCCTTCGCTGCCTTTCCTGAACTTTCTGTGGTGCTCTGAGCTCCTTCTCTACCTGGTGTCTGCTGCTGGCTTGGACTCTGCCTTGCATGCTAGCATCCCAAAACGCAAACAGTACTCCTCAAGGGGTTAAAAAGGAGAGGGAGAAAAAAGAGAAAAAAGGAAGAAATAAATGGGTAGTCAACAGAAAGGAAATGACTTGATTTTGGTTGCTTGGTGGGCAAGATGTTTTGTGAGTGTGCTGTGCCTGATGGTTCACTGGGCTCTTTCATGGACCTTTTGGTTTCACTCACGAGTGAGTGGATCACTGACAGCTCCATGCAGGTGGCATTTGACAGAAGGGATATAAATCAGGCCACGGCATGTTCCCCCACCCTGTCCCTCTGTTTGGGCAGTTTGGTAGTTAGTCATTGCCTAACGAGCCATCAGGCAGTGCCCCACTGTCGTACCACCCTCACCCCTCTTCTCTTGTCTCTGCTGTCAAAATCAGAGGGCTCACTGTTACAGGGTAGAAACCCAGGCACCTTTACACCCTGCTGGAGACATTTGTTTCTCCAGAGGCCCCGGTAGCCCCTAGTATCCCTGCCCACCACTCAGGGCCCCATTTCAGCCTCCCCGGGCTGTCAGTCACTGCCTCACGGGCGCTGCTGGGAGGCACTACCTCTTCCATGAGTGACCATGAAGGATCTAGAGGCAAACCATGTTCTTGTTGTGCCCCAGAGCTCACTCCCTTGGCCTGGGAAACAGCACAAAGGACTGGATTTTGGCTGTAGCTCCCTGGTTCAGGCAGCAGATCCAACCCAGGGCAGAGAGCTGTGCAAGTAACACAGCTTGACACCAGGTGAGGCCCAACCTGCCTCCGACTGAGGAAGCCCTGCTGGGATTAACACACCAACCCATCTCCTCTCTACAATGGGAGCTGAAACATGAGTGCTGGCAGTGCTGCTTATGTGGAAGTTGCTGCCAGGAGTTCACAAACGACTGGAGTGACCAGAAAATAAAAGTTTTGCTTCTCGCAACACGGTTCACCAAAAGCAGCGTCTCCCTGCACGAAGGCTGGTGGGCAGCCAGAAGGGGCGGGAGGCAGCGCGAGCAGAACCTCATCGCCAGCCCTGATCTTGCTGAACTCAGCTCCGATGTCACCCTGTTTGCATTTGTGTCCTCGTGTCACCTTGTCCTCACATGCACTACTTGTATCTTTCTCTCTTTTATCACCTGAAATGATGCATCTTCTCCGCTTCTATCCATAGCAACCAATACAGTGTACAGAAGGAAAGGTGAATAAAGTTAAATTCAAATGCAAAATGGGAAAACTTAGTTTTTTTTAAAACTGTTTTATATAAGCACTTGCTGGAAACTGGCACAAACAGGATGCTATCTGCCCGGAGATACCATGGCACATGTAAATGTGACCGAGTGGAAAAGACCCTTCCCTGCCAAAGTATTTGCTGGAGATTCGATAACGAGGTGCCACTGTACAACAGTGGGTAAGGGTTCAGGGAAAGTGGAACCAGGAAAGGCACCCAGGCAGTGCGGGCTCTGCCTTTGCAGGCTGCTGCTCCACACAAGCCTTCCCAGGCTTCTGCAGCAGAACTGGTCCACCCGTGCAACACCCCTCTGCCTGAAAGCAAGCACAAGCCTGCAGTGGCTGTGCTGGCCAGGGATTTAGGGTCTCATTCTCAACCCACCAGCATCTCACACTCCGTGCTGAATGCAGTGAGTTGTTCCCAAGCTCACTTATGCAATAAGCTCCTGTTCACATACAAACCTCAGCATTTCTCTGCTTCTGTTCCCTGGTGATCTCGGAGCCAAACCAGCTGGAGGAATCCTCCTCTGGGCCCTTCGGACTTCTTGGCTTCATACAGGTAGGTGGTGGTGGCTCCCCTTTGAAGCGTGGAAGCCTGCAGGCAGCAGGCAGCGTGCCCGTGGGCAGCAAGGTGTGTGTGGAAAGCACCCAGCCCTCTGTGATATTTGCTTCTCACAGCCCGTCTGAACCCCACTGCCTGACTCAGCTCATTGAGCACGTTGCTCTCCTCCTCTCCCCTTTCCCCTCCTGCTGCCCTTTTCAAACAGCGTTGCTTTTAGCTCATTTATCTGCCTATTGGGGTGATATGTAATCAGAGCAGGGAGTCCTGATGGGAAATACAAAGTGATTCTTTAGAGCGGGCACTGATTGAGGAGGTTACAGCTGCCCTTTTGCCTGCTTTGCCTTCTGCCCCAAGTCTGTCAGCACTTAACAAATTAGAAGAAGATCCAGGGTGTTCACAAGCCCATCTTACTTTAGAAAAATCTGTTATTTGACATGTGACACTCATTTGATGTGGAGGTAAGTACAGAGCCTGCCTCATCTACCCCCTGCACGGGGGACTGGGGTCAAGTCTTGCTGTAACAAAGCCCAAATAACCTCCAGCCTACTGACTTTAAAAAAGTGGTATCCTCAGTTAGAGTGAACACTTGTAACCAAAATAATATATATTTTGTTCACTCCCATCATATATCCCGAATGTCAACATTACCAAAAGACAGGAAACATTTTCTCCATCATTAGGAAAAGTGGAGCTACTCCCCAAGTCCTACTTAATTACACTTGAGCAACAACTCTGAAATAAGGTTTATCATAGATCTGTGCCCCCTACAGGACTTAATCAGCTGTGATCAGAGAGCCTTCCCGAGGAACAATCTAGGAAAGGAGAGAGAAAAGGCCCTGCAATAAATCTTCCCACAAAAATCTTGTTTAATTAAATGGCTTTCCACATCTGTTGCTCTGCTCTTCTTGGCAATCTAAGAAATCTAATCCTGTTATTAATCTTCTTCCTTTACAATATGGAGAATAAAAACCACACTTTCTTTCCTGAGTTTGGATTCTGAGAAGACTTTTTTTTTTCCATATGAAGGAGGCCAAGTAAATGGTAACATGGAGCACGCCTAACACGAAGGAGGATGAAATGCTGCAGAATTCAAGGCTACCCTCAAAAAACAGCTGGTAGAAGTACACATACAAACCAGAAAGAAGGAGGAATGAAAACAATCAGAGGGCTGATGCACCAATACCTACAGCAGAGCACACAACTGAAAACAGACTCCAGTACATACAGACTAAAAAGGAATCTGGTACAAAAGCCATTCCTCTTCTGCTTTTGCTTTGTGAGCCTATCAGCATCTGTTCCAAATCAGAACAATATTAACTGAGTCAATCTTGTAGATGTCGATGTCAGTGTCTTCCAAGACACATTTTTGTGGTTAGTTCCAGAAATAAGTTTGCTTTAGTCCCCCTGCCTCTCCCTTCCCCCCCCCCCCCCAAAAAAAAAAAAAAACACACCCACACAACCCTTTACTCTAGGTAACAGTGTAGAATCTGATAGCACGAGGTAGAGCCACCGTGAGGCAACAGGTGTCTCGCACCTACCATCTGCAGTGAAAGCCAGTTTATTTTGGTTCCCTGCTACTATCTGCATAAAGGCTCACTAATTGAGCTGCAAACCTGCAACCGCACCAGCATGGTCAGAGCCCACGCACACACTCATTCTCTGTAGGGATATTCATTCCTGAAAATGCAATTATGGAAGCAAGAAGATGTCAGAGACACAATTACTATTTTGACCTCAGTGTGATTACTCCAGCACCTCATACTTTCTGCAAAACAAGTCAAGAAGAAGACACAGGAGCCCCAAGCCACAAACAATTCCTACATGACTGAACTGTTATAAGCATTCACCTGCCAAGCTGTACCCTCAAATTTGCTCCTACTTGTACACATAAGACAGTATTTCAGGCTCAGTAGCTGCAAGATTTTTAACAGATAATTTAACACACCTACTCCAAGAGGGAGTGGAATTGTAGAAATGGGTATGCCAAATCCAAGACAGTGAACGGTTCTTGTGATAAGGGGAGCAAGCATAATGCATTATGTAGGATGAAAACTTCAGATGCCTTTAATTGCCTTATTTAAACAGAACCATTTAAACGTCGTATTTCAGTGAACGTACTGACAGAACTGTGAATCAGTGTAAGAATATTTTTCTGTCAGAGTCTTGCATGGTTATTTCTCTGAGAAGATAAAAAGTGATATCACAGTACAGAGCTCATCATTCAAAGACACGGATCTGTTTATACTTACACTGATCATTAAATAAGCATTTTCCTGACAAAAAAAGGCACTGAAAATTCCAGATTAGCCATTCCAGGGAGTTGAAGGATAGTTCTTTATGCATGATCCAAATTCTTAAGTCCTGAAACTCTGGCATTATTTTTATATTAGTGTTTAAAATTACACCAGTGTGCCTGCATGCAACTTCAATATAATAAATACTAAGTAGATACAGAAAAAGCAGCACTAAGAACCTGTCAGGAATCAGGAGGAAAACGCAAAGTGAAACTCAGTTTTCTGTTGGCAGCACTGCTATTTGCCTTTCTTGTTTTTCCAGAATTCAAGTGACAAACCTGTACATACAACCCTGCAAACCCAGAAGCTCTGTACTACACAAAGAGGAAGCACTTTTGTGCTTTGTGACCACATGTTGAGAGTTTGCAAGGACAACACAAGCAACATATATGGAACATTCACTGAAAGCATTAGAGGGTTTTCTCAGATTAGCAACTACAGTACTGAAAAGAAACGTACTTTGCTCTTAGAAAGAACACACAGGCTTCATGGAGGTTCTTTATTTAAAAAAGCAAAAACATAGAAAGTCTTGAGTAGAATGTAGGTAGCAATATCTTTTATAAAATTCATTCTTCTAAGTATGTATTTATTACAATAAATTATTTTCCAAAATGATGAACCTGGAGGTGGTTTCACTCCCAGCATCGTACATCTAGGCATCTCCATAATCTGAGGAACAGAATGGGAAAAAGAAATTAATTTCAATAACCTGAAATGTGCATTTGCAAACAAGTTACTAATTCATTTTCCCATAACTTAATATTTCATCAGAAAACAAGGTGCTCTTTCCCCCCCACTCCAAATCCATCTCTCTCAGAAGAATGGCAGCATAGTCCTTCCCAAACAGAGATCCAAGGAAAAAGGAGAAATTAAAAGGAAAAAGGAGAAATTAAACACAATTTCACAGAACTTTGTTTCCCCTTCAGCCTACCTCTTTTGAGACATACATATATGTTCTTTATAGTTATTTATGTCCATTGCCCTCAGTCATCCAGTCTCTGAAATGCTTTTCCATCAAGCTTCTGGCTCTCCAGTCACCAACATTTACAGTGGGGATGATTTTCTGTGGCTTCAACCATTGAACAAAACTCTTCATTTCCAGGTAACTGCTGTGTTCACTATAAGGAATACCTGAAATAAAGCAAATCAGAGAGATCTGTCAGTTCGCTTGGCTTCTTGCCAAAATACTTTTGCAAACTTTCAGCTCAGAAGAACTCGAATTATTTAAAAAAAAATAAAAATATCAAACTGGAGATTTAAATCATATAGCTAAGGTAAAAGGAAAATCCAGATTTAATTTCTGGTAAAGTTACCTTGAATTATGTTACCAAATCAATCATCTGTGCAAAATGAGCTGTATCTAACATTCAATTAAATGAACATTAAAGTTTTTAAGAGATTCAACTCCATCTGCTGATAAGAAATGAGAGGGAGAAGATCCCCAGTCTCCCCTCTGTAGGAGTAAGGTATGGTATGGGATGAAATCTTGGCTCTGGAACTGAACTGCCACCAGCATCGCTAGGACCAAGATTTCATCCTTGAAGTTTCTGCAATACCATATAAAAGCCTTTGTTTGCAAGAGGAGGACATGAGCAAAATGTACATAAAAATCTACATTTACAGTGTCCTCGATTACTCTTCTCCTGGAGAGATCCATCTGTTCAGTTTCTCAACAATTTATCAGAAAAAGCATTAGTTACAAAGAACAGTTGGAGTTTCCAGAACAAAAAATAAGAAAATCATTCACACAACCAGATGCACTGAATCGTTACCACACTTATACCATAAATGGTGATCCTTCCTCTCGTCTGAGGCTTGATATCCAGCAGAGAAAGGCATGAATCAGAGTAGGTCCATCCAGTAGGTTTGAAAGCCAGAACTTGATCAAAATTCTCAGAAAACTTATTTAAGTGGTCTTGCAAGCCCTGTTAAAAGAATATAGCACATACCGAGTCCCATTAAACATCTCTTTAGTCTAAATATTGGAGATTTTATGATGGAGACACCTCAGACTAAATTTTATTTTTTCATGAATAAGAACTTTTTTCTTTTAAATACCACCTGCCTTCAAATTAATAATGATAAATACTTAAATTTGCAGGACACCTTGTATGCTAGGATCTCAACTGCTTCGTCTGAATAAGCGCATATTAATAGCTACGCATTACAAATCAGAACACATGAGGCATAATTACATCTTGTATATCTTGCCCCCAAGCTATTCATTTCCTTCGCTCAGCTGGAGGTCAGCACTCTTGCAGCTGAGTTCTGATAAAAGAAAGTAAAAGCCAGCTTCAGTGCAAAATCATCTGGTTAATTTAAAGTACCACTGACATCTTGATATCCGTTTGTTTCCAGAAGCACTCAAAGATTAAGTAAACTACCCAAAAAATTGCAGCAAGCCAGTGCACAAGTAGAGTATTGCTCTGACAACTAACTGTGCTTTATCATGTCTCCAGTCATGGTAGGAAGGAAACTAGCTCCCATCTCTTCACTCTTAAGAAAAAAAAAATAAAAAAAATAAATTGAAATTTAAATAGTTGCCAAGTTGGCTAAGTTAGCCTTCGATGTTGTTTAAGCTAGGATCAGGAAGAAGATGAGAGAAGTATAAGGAATGTACAATCCTATTCCTGGATAAAGTGAAGTCAGTATTATTTCAAACCAAAAGCAGAAAATCAATTTCATGTGTCCTGTATAAAACCTTAAAGGCATATTCTTCATTTGAAAGACTTATGAGATTTTAGAACTCAAAATCATAAACTTCACAGCAGCAGCAGGAAGAGGAATACAAAAAAGAAAGACTGCTGAATAAAAAAGGGGAAGGGGGTGGAGATGGGGAGGCTGTGACAGAACACTAACCACCCTGCCAGACACTTGAAAATCATCACACAGGGAAGTGGAAAGCTGCCTGCGACACTGCTGCATTTAGTAGCACCTTCAGTACCATGCCCAGTAGCAACACACAGAACCCATCAATCTGGGCACGTAGAAGACTTACAAAAAACCCTACCACAACACACTTGCAGCAGGAATCACGGCCAGCCTCCACTGGCTCTTAATGCACTGCAGAAGTCCAATCTTCACTAGATTACAAATACAACTGCAGCAGCCTACTTCTTCACACTTCATTTAAGAAGACTGACAGGGCTTAAGGCAACAATTCACAAAAACTGTATTGCCTCCCCTTGCCTGACTGAGATCCAGTACTTCAAACACAATGATTATGATAGTAACCAGTGCTAATTTGTTCTCAATTTTTGTTACAAATCAAGTGTGCTACATTCACACTAAGGATGCAATTTCAATCCCATCAAAAACAATTTGTGCATTTCAATCACAGATACTTCTCAACATCTCCCCTCACTTTTCAGTGAATGACGTTACGGAGCTAAGCAACGTGAAGGAGGTGCATGGACCTGAAGACCCCAGTCCTCTGGAAATCTTCCACTGCATATTCAAGTGGCAGAAGTCCCACTTTGACTTATAAAATGTTGTTTTTGTTTCAAGAGAAACACACAAGCACTGTAGAAAAGACGGTCTCTTTCCACAGAACAAATGACTACAGTGTTTGCTCATAACAAGTTCACTTTAAATACACATTCCAATCTCTTCTTTTATTTCTTTGGCCAACACTATTCTAAACCTTCATCCTTTTAAAATGGAAAATACATTTTACTGCTAAATCAGTCTCCCTTCAATCGCCATGACAGGCTGTTATCTAGTGTTGCTGAAGTCAGCAGTACTCGATCAGCTAATTTATTCTTAAAATATTATTTTGAGTTCATGTTTACTGATGCTACTAGAACAGA